TGAACCCTAAATATTTGAAAACACAAAGAGGGTTGTTGTTTTTTTAAACTGACTGAGGAGGGGAAGAGGGAGTTAAAACCAGCTTTATCAAAAGACCCGAGCTACAAACTTGTTAGTTATAATTATTTAATACGTAGATCATGATGGTGCCCAGATGCTCAGCTAAGGCATAGTGTCCTGTTGTGCTAGGCATGGTATAAACACAGGGTGAACCCTGGCACTATTGAAGTCAATGGGAGTTCTGCCATGGACATCAGGAGAGTCAGGATTTCACCCACAGAAGTAGACACTGGGCCTGCCCTGCGGTGCTTATGGGTTCTCCATGAGATCATACATTTTCCTATACAAGATGAAAACTTTTTATTTGGAATTACAGGGCAGATCAAGTCTGGCCTAGACCATGGAAAGGCTGCTACCTCTCCATACTAAACGACATGCCTGAAGAGACAAGATAGATTGCTGGACTTATTTATTACTGGTAGCACACACTCTGTGCTGGACTCTTTCCTAACACTTAAGGAGCACGCTCCCCATTCCAATGAGAACGCAGTCAAAGGACAAGCAAGTGGACAGAGATCAGGGGAAGGCTTTATACACAGACCTAAAGCTACAAACTAACAGAGCATAGATTTATCTTTCTGGAAACTGCCTGTCAACCTGGAAAAGGGAACACGGGTGAGAATGAAGCAGCTTCTGATCCATCTAAATGTCAAGGTGTTTCCTTGACTCTTTGAGCATAACTCATGGATGCTGAGTGTTAAACTGCTGGACATTCAGATTCTGCCATGTTAGCCCAATAATAAAGTGACTGTACCTCATGGTCTAAGGCTCGGGATGTTTATTTTTACAACTTTGCAGAAATCCTTCATCCATACAGCACCTGGCTCAGACGCTGCCCTTTCAATGGCTCTTCTGTTGGCACATTAATTCATGGTACCCCAGGGGACACCATGGGGCTTATCAAGTTGATTCGTTTAAGTGGAGTTATTTGGCTATCCATTTTCTATGTTTCATAATGTATTTCCAACCTTAAAGCGACATAAGCAAGCACCAGATTGCCAAGGTGCTTATTAATTGCCTATTCAAATATTTTACAGCTTTTATTTTTACATCGCCACAGGGATTTGAATATTTTGTAGCTGTCGAGTTGCCTGAGGATTTATGTTGCGAGAACTTCACCATAGCTTAATGCAGAACAGCAACGGGAAATGAAGTGGGAGAACAAACTTCCATTCAGTTCCCCTAATGCTGTAAAACTGTCACACAAGTATCACAGTCAAGCTCTTCATACAAAAGGACTTATTTGTTTACAAAAAATAAACAAAATAAAAATAATACTCATCAGAGATCTAACATTTTGGAACCACACTAAGGGCTCACAGTGGTCAGCCGAATTTTTTGGAACCACATAGATTTTGTTTTCATAGATTTAAGACAAAGAAGGACCATTCTAATTAGCTCCAGTATAATTTAGGCCATAGCATTTCACTCAGTGATTGCTGAATGAAGCACATATCTTGTAGTCGAGCTAGAGCATATCTTTCAGAAAGAAACAACCAAACTTGATTTAAAGACTTCAAGTGTTGGAGAATCTACCACCTCTCTAGATAAGATATTCCAATAGTTAATTACCTCCAGTGTTATAAATCTGCATCTATTTCTAGCCTGAATCTAATTTCTAATTCCAGGTAGGTACTTACAGAACGTGATCAAGTAACCTCTTAACCTTTTCTCTGGTAAATTAAATAGACTGAGTTTATGTCTTTCACATATTTTAAAATAAAGAATGTTACTGGTAATGAAGGTTTGGAAAGATATCAGTAAGGTGTTTAAAAATATTTTTATTGCTTGTGTTTTCAAAGCATTTTATTTTAGTCAAATCAGGAATAGACACTCATCTGCCAAAGAACCTATACCATATTTTACAATGACACTGTAATCGACATAACCTGTAATATAAATGCCTGGCATTTTAACAAAGGTATTAGAGATTAGCATAAGCAAAGATAACTGAGTAGATTACTGATATATTTATTATTATTATTATTATTTTAATTTAGAACAGTTCTGAGCTTTCTGGCCAGGTGACCTTGAAAAGATTCTTCTCAGACAGCAGGTCTACATAGCTGATATAATATGAGTAGTAAAATTGCTAGTCCCGAGTGTTATTAAATTTATTGTTGATTTAAGATCTGATCCCTAGCTCACTGAAATGAATGGGAAGACTGCCACTGACTTGGGCTTTGGATCATCTACGCTCTTAAAGTGGACGGATTGTTCCTAGTACCTAATATAGCCAAGAGTCTGAAATACTGCTGACAGAAGAGGGGGCATTGTGCTACCTAGTAGCCTGCCACCAGATCAGGAAAGGACAGTAATGACACACGGCCAAAGGGGATCACAGCTGAAACACAGGACATAACCACGTCCGGGGAGGTGGGGGTGGGGAAGGGGTGTTGTAACTTGTCACACATCTGAACAGAGTGGCTTTTTCTTACAGTGGCTTTGGCAACACTTGTCGTGCCAAGAAAGCGTCACTGAACTGAACGGACAGCAGTAAGGGACTGGAAATGGATGTCAAAGATACCACCCATAAAATCAAACTTCGCAAGCTTCTTTGTCGCGTTATCACCTGTACATCCAAGTTCCCCATGCCAGAACACCTCGCTTTGCCGGGGCGCCATGTACCCCCCTGCTTCCGCAAGCAAAGAGGAGCCCAAACCGGTGGATCTGGTAGCTCCACAGTCTGCTCCCACCTTCCCCCAGCCATTGGGAAATGTCCTGCATTGAGGAGCTCATGAGCAGGGGCTGAAAGGGGGATCTTAGAGAGCTAAGCCATTTCCCCGCACCTACAGCCTCTTCTATGGACAAGCCATTGTTTAGGCTGCCACACTTTGTCAAAGGAAGCTCCGTTTCCAAATAAACTCTTCTCTTATTCCAGAGATTTTCCATCTGAGCTGGAATGCAGAGGCTGAGAATATGGAAAAAAATAGGCTTTGCTCAAAGAGATAATTCTAATTGCCCAGGACATCTAAGGAAGCGCCAACTGTATTAAGAGGAAAATGAAATAAACCCAGCAGAGAGACATGTACTGCTGACCCTGAAATGAAAGTTCAGCATGGGTAGGTGATGTACAAGAGAGACGGGGCATCATGGGAAAAAACTGAAAGGAAAAAACGACAAGAAAAAATACAGTGTGAGGTTGAAAGGATACAAGACCCAACCTATTATTCCCTTGGGGAAGGGAGCTGGTTGAGGGGGAAAAGGGGCAGGGACTGGGGGATTAACGGCACAGAGCCAGACAAAGCACAGGGAACCTTAGGCTTAGTCTACGCTACATAGCTGTCGGCTAGCAGTGTGAAAAAAATCGCATGCAGTAGCAGCCATAGCTATGCCAGTAAAAGCCCTAGTGTAGGCACAGTGACACCAGAAACAAAATCCTTCTCCCGGTACAGCTGATCTCCTTACACCAGTATAGCTATGCTGGCAAAGCATATATAGCTCAGACAAGCCCTTGGACTCAACCCCATGGGGCTCAGAGCAACGCTGCGGAATGCCCTCCTCTGCACATGTCAACCTAGGCTCCCCCTCCTCACTCCCCAGCAGAGATGCCTCTGTGGCCATGCTGCTTGGTGTACGGCGAAGCGCCGCTCCGCTCCTCTCCTCTGCGCATTGGATGTTAATGCTGAGTGTCGCTGCTCTATCGCACCACCCCTGCAGAATTACCGGGAACCCCCACATCTCAGGGGCTACTCTCCGGGGTCACTGGCGGCTTGTGGAGAAGGGTGAGGGGCACTCTGCAAGGCTTCCGCTCCCCTTCTGCAATTTCCAGTGGCTCTCGGCGCTGCCCTTCGCCATGCCCACCCCTGCTACAAAGAGCCGGTCTTTGGAACCGGAAAGCTGTGCTGGGGGCGCTACTGGGCACTTCAAACCCCTGTCCAGCTTGAGAATTTTACGGTGAGGCCTGACCTAGTTTAAAGGAAAGCACCATCTGCGAGAGCAGATACAGCCGCAGAAACAATAACCTCTTGGAGAAATGTGCTATTCAGTCATTATATAACGAGTTCCCTTCCTGTCCTCTCCCTCCTCCCACCTGTCAAAGCGGGGATGAGAGAGCCCTTTAGCGGAGTCAGATATTGTTCTGCTTTGCTCTATACACAATAAAGTGCTGATGCTGACCATTTCCTCCCCACAAAGTTCATTAGATGGTCTTATTAATTAGCTGACTCTACATCCTATCACACACTGCCACCTGAAATCTCACTTGCATTTGTAAAGCATGCAATTAAAGCCATAGGCATTGTCACAGGCAGGCACTGCCGGGCATTAATATTCTATTCAATCAATAGCTAGACAATATGATGCTGTGCCTTGGATGCTCACCAAAGTAAAGAACAATATACGTGCTGTGCAGAGAGCACAAAATTTTGATTTTAGGAACTCCAGTGTAAATCTGGAGCAGCGCCACTAAAGCCATATGGGTTACTTTAGGTTTGGACTGAGGGCAGAATAAGAGCTAATAAATCTACTGCAGAGAGAAACAAATCAGAAGTAGGCTGTGGCACTCAAAGCAGAGAGAAGCAATAGCAATCCACACTTCCACTCCTTTTCTGCACAGTACTAAAATAATAATTATCAAATTGTAATTCCATCTTACATTAGCTGCAGTTCCATCTTACTTTAAAGAACCTGGCCATTGTCTTTTTCAGTACGGGCACACACAACTGTGCTACGCAAAACTGAATGAAAACTGTCACCACTCATCTTAAATACACTCTAATACCAGGGCCCTTTAAAGACAGGCCTTCATCCTCATCCACCCGTTCTTGCTCATAATAAACCACTTCTGCAGTCAAAAACAGGATCACATGAGATAAAGACAATGCATCACCCCTTCTTGTCATTTCTGTCAGGAGGGTTTGTTACAATATACTCTGTTCAAAGAGTAAGGGAGCTGTAAACAGCAAAAGAGAGAGAGAAGGGGGGAAAAAGCCACTTACTTGATATTGTCGAGACAGCCGGATTCAGGTTTCAGGATGGCAGTATGATGGAACATTTTATAGAGAGCAATCCCCAGGAAGATTACATTAAGCTGGAATGAAAAAAAAAAAAAGAAAGAAAGGAAAAAAAAAAAGGTTGTGTTACACGGCAGACCTGGAGGAGGGGGAAGTGAGTCTTTTCTTTGTAACAGATGAGTTGCTCTGGGAAATTAGTTCTCACTACAGTTTTATAGAGACTAAATCATAGATGATTGCCTAGTATTCTATAAAGGCAAGGCAGCTTCCCGAATGAGAGAACAGCAATACAATTGAGTTCCACAAAGCTGTGGTGCTGGATGAAGCCAGCCCTTACACCAAGAGCAGTGTTTCAAGTGATGTTATGGAAAATTAAAAATGTTTGCTGTAACTGCTCTTCTGTGGCTATGCGGTGCATACTGATGACAAACCATTCCAGGTTTGTTGTTCACCTGCTCCCATAGAAAGGAACACAAGGCTGCCCTCACCCGGGGCAGGGGTGAGTATACATTTTCAACTACAGCGTAATGTGGGAGATGCGCGGGCAAGTGATTGTTAAAGAGACACTACAATGTAATGACTGGGAAAAGGAGCTTGGTCTATGCTGTAAAAGATAGATTGTGATTCACTAGCTCTAGGCTAGAGAGGCTCCCAGTGACTGGAAATGAGTTACCAAAGACCCAGACGTGAGGCGGCAATCACAGAGGGAGAGGCCTTTTATAAATGTATTTAATAAAAATATAGATTAATGGTTCTGTAGAGAAACGTATAAAATATGCAAGCCACTCCATCCTTCAAACAGCACGATCCCCTGATTTGCACACAATTGGGCTGTTTTTGTGTGTGACATATGATAGTCACTACAGATTTAGCAAGTGGCACAGGCCTCAACCTGGATGGCTAATGAAACACTCTGGATTGAAATGAGAACCAACTACAACATCTGCATTGAAATGAGTATGCTCATTCTTTGCTGTGTTGGCTGAACTACTTTATATTTAAAACAAAGCATGATTTATGTAAGCCTTATTGCAGTGATTTCAGTATGAGCAAACTCCAGCTGTCTCTAAAGTTTGGTTCTTTACCCTGTTGCTATGTTATCTGATATGGTGACAAAGTGTGTTAACTGTGAAGTTACACTTATTTTGTTTTAACTTCTAAAGCGAGAGAAAAAAATCGTTTCCATTTTTGACTTCGCTCCTATTTCAGATTTCCCTTTGTGCATAAATGATGTATTGCTTCACTCTGGAATTCAAAGGGATGAGCATACAGTGATGTCAAAATAGAGACCAGCGCTTCTAAACGTCTGATAACATCAAACAAGCTTTGCAAGAGACTATTCTGAGCAAGTGTCCACAGCACAAGCTCGTACTGAAACATACTTTCCTTTCTCCAACAGGTTTTGATCAAGTATTTCAGAATGCAAGGAGTCTCTTATAATGAGTGCCTAATTGCTTGTGTTAGGTGGGGTCAGATAAGAACATGCTTTCCCCAAATTAATCTATGTAAATTCAAGATATAGAGTGAAAGTTTTATTTCTTGACCTGGGAGATGGAGTAGTTAATTAGGAGTTCTTACCATAATTATCAAGGTCGCTGGTCCTATAAAGCTCCAAATGAAGTAGGTGTCAAGTCTGAGCCAACATCTGTAATGAAACACAAGGGATAGAAGACATTCAAGGACTGAGCGCAGGACATACATCAAGAGTGAGCGAGTGACAGAGAAGAATGTGAGCTGCAAAACATTCCACTGGGAGACAGGAAATATTACATTGCTTGTTCATTTAAATGCTGAATTATGTGCCCAATTTCTGACAGTGCTATTGATGGAGGAAGATAATTACCTCTGGAGGAAGCGGCGGCGGGGGGCGGGGGGGGAGGCACAGGGCCTAGCTGCTAAGGCCTTTTGCATCTGTCATAGAAAACCTTATATTAAAAAAAAAATGTGTGTGTGGGGGGGGAGAAGGAACTATGAGCAGCCATTAAATCTCTTAGCTTCTCCCCAATTATGATGCAACACAACCTGCCAGTCAACTGTCAAGCGAGCTGACGTTTTTCTGTCAAGAAGATCTGAGGAAATTTGGTGCAAAAAGGAAATAAATTTTGGTACCGGAGGACTGAAGATTAGATTAATTAGATTCAGCAGCCTCACCTTAGAGGTTTTACCGCCCTGAACCTCCTGAATGCATTGTTGCCACTAGTGTTTCTAAGGTAGCAAATGATCTTCAGTATCACATAAAGCTGATTCATGACCTAAAACTAAATTATTAATCACTTAATTTCAGCTGCACTTAATACTTCCCCAATTTTTAAGGCCCCTGGGAAATTATATTTCCATTCCTAGTTCATTCAAGATGACAGGAAGATAAAATGGAAGTGACTCGTTACAAGACGGATGAATATAAATTCTGAGGAAGCTACATATGATGTTTAAAATAATAATGTCTTGTCGTGTTTGTCATGTTACTCATTAAAGTCGTGTTTATAAGGGGAAAACTAGTAAATTGTAAAAAAATCCTTTTACCCTTGAAATTAAGTGGATTTCCTAATTAAATAAAGTGACTACAATTATGCATATCAATTTATCCTGAGAGTATATAGTGTAAGAAAGCAGTTCTGATCCCTGGGTCTGGGTTGGGTCCTAGTCAACTCAACTCAACTCCACAAGGAATCCGAGAAATGTAGGGCTGCCAGGAACCTCAAGAAGCCATTTTACCTATCAGCTTGCACCGAGGAAGGGCCAAGTAAATCTGGACCATATCTCACAGGTGTTTGTCTAACCTGCTCTTAAAAACCTGTTCCACAACTTTGCTTGGTAACCTCTTCCAATACTTCATTAGTTTCTATAGTTAGAAAAACAACAAGGAGTCTGGTGGCACCTTAAAGACTAACAGATAGTTAGATAGTTAGAAAGTTTTTTCTTTTATCTAGCCTAAATCTCCCTTGTGCGGATTAAGCCGATGAGCACAGGGGTCTGTGCTAGCAGATCCAGAGAAGGGGTCAAAGCCTAGAATTGAAATGCTACGGTGAAAACAACCGTCTCTTTCTACACTAAAGAATTTTAGGATTCGCAAAATCAAAAATTAAACTTTCAAATTTCAAAATTGTAGAAAATTCAGGTGTGTTCCCAACTTTACCAACCTAGGGCACCTCTCCACTGCTGGCTTCTTTGGGCAGCATGCAGGGTACATACGGGGTAGCTCCGTAGCATGGGTATAAATAGCAGCACAGACTGTGAGGCACGCCTGAAGAGGGAGAGTATGTCCCCGAGTACATACTTTATATGGCTCTCTACTCACCCAAGCAGTGCCTCCCTTCCCACACGACTATTTTTGGCAGTGCAGTGTCCTGCTGCCTCTGCTCTGTGGAGCCTTTCACATCTGCTGGAAAAGTCTCTGGCACAGGGAAAGGGTCCAACAGTGAGGAAAGACTCCACCAGCAACCTGCTGCTGGAACCTTTCCCCTCTGCAGGGAAAGACTCTGGAAGCAGTGAAAGGCTCCAGCAACAGTCAGATGCTGAAGCCTTTTTCCACTGCTTCCCCCCTGCCAGAGCCTTTCATTGGCATGTGTAGCTACACACCGCAACATAGACACAGGCCGCTAGTCACTGCGGCGTGTAGCTACATGTACCCTACACACTGCCACCAGCCACCAGCAGTGTGTAGTGCAGACATAGCCTTAGGGTCTGAATGGCTATACAAATCTAAAATGATTATAAATCCTACTACACAAACATAATGATATTTGCACCGAGCCAAAACAGAAACTGGAGTGCAGAGAGATTAAAAAATAGTTGCTACTTAGGATCTAACTCCTGAATTGGAACTGAAGTCATTCATCAAAATCTTAATGTGAGAGACACCCTGAAAAGGCTTTCTTAATATCAAGACGGGAGTTCTGGGTTTCTGCTGCCTTAGTTGACTTTAAAACTGATTTAGGTGTGTCTGGCAGTAGCTGAGCACAATGAGTGATTCCCAACCCTTTTTGTTTTAAAATGTATTATTACGTGTATTGCCGTAGCTTCCAGAGACTCTAGCAGAGATCAGGCCCCACCGTGCTAGGTGCTGTATAAACACACAGTCAGACCCAGTTCTGAAGACCTTACAGTCGAAACTGACTAGACAGACAAAGGAAGTATTATTACCCATATTTTACAGATGGGTAATAACTGAGGCAAAGAGACACAAAATGATTTGCACAAGGTCTCAGAGCAGGTGTGTTGGCAGAGGCAGGAACTGAACTCATGAATCCTTGTCTGATATCTTAACCTCAAGAGCATCCTTCCTTTCAAAGCATGTTTCACTGGGGCGGGGCGCCGGGAGAGGGAGCAACAGCAAACCTATACCAAAAAGTACTGGGTGCTGATGAAGACCTTGAGGAGCTTTTGGGTCCATCCAGTCAGGCTATACTGTATAGCCCCATTGAAGTCAAAAGAGTTATGCCAGCCAAGGATCTGGCCCTTTGTTCATTTTACTTGATCATTTTTTGGTTGACAGGTAATTATTTGGGGAAGTGTAGAATAACACTGCGACCCTAAATTCACTCAGGAACACGGGATCTGCCAAACCCATCACTGATGCTGTACCTTATAACAATATTGTCAGTTAAGGATAGGATATTTTTTGTGATTTTAAAATAAAAATTCTCCAAGTATTTCAAACTGTATCATACATTTAACAGGGAAAGCATCTGTTAGCAGGCAAAACGACCACATCTCACTGCCTCTGCAAATCCTGCTAAGCAGGTGGAGGAAGCATGGCACATTTACAACTGCAAAGCAAATTGTTCCTCCTTGAGTACTTAGAGCTTTACTAGCTCTTGGCGAGCAGGGTGGCAAAACTCCCGTTTTTAGCTTGATGGCTGTATGGCCACAGCTGCTGGTGCTGTTTTTGGCCACAGACTCTCTCATCATAGGTCTCAGACCTATACCCTGTTCCTCAAGGCCAGCATTGTGCCCTTCCCATCCACTGGCAGCCCCGCAAACCATGCATCCTGCCTGCTTATATGCCTCACCTGCAAAACTGTGATACAGTCCCAGAGCCAGATTCTCCACTGGTGTAAATTAGCACAGCTCCATTGACTTCAATGGACTGTGACTAATCATGGATGGTGAACAGTGAGGGGCATGAAGATGGCTGATTCCCACAGCTGTTTAGAACCTGAAGGAATGTTTGAGAGTGGTGTTTTGCTGTATTTGCTCAGCTCTAGTTGTCAGCACTACCATCAGGCAATGATCCAAGTGTATTTTTTTTTATTATTTGGACTATGATAACACCTAGCCAAACCATGGTCCCATTGTGCTAGACATATACAAACCCAGAGCAGGAGACAACACCCACCCTGAGATGCTTAGACTCCACACAGACAAGACTGGAGCACGGACTGTCAAGATTAGCAAAGGTTCTTTTTGCCATGCAAACCTTAAAGGTTGCATTGCAGTTTTGCAGTTGTTCTAATGGAAAGGTCTCTTTCTAAGAAACCAAGTACCGCTCTCTTGAATGAGTCAGATGGAACTCTGCAGTAATATGTCTAATCCATAAGGGGGTAAAAAAGTCAATCTTTCTGTGGTCATTTTATAGTGATGTAACTTTGAACCCATTTAGTCAGACCTCATTAAAAATGCAAATTAAGAACAAAACATCAAAACTTGGGCATCCTGCCAATTCGTTCACAGAGATGTAAATCGTTAATCAGACAAGTACCACACGGAGCTTTTCTTTCCTTAAAAACAAAAGCACAAACACAATGAGCTGAATAAATGAACTCCTTGAAACAAGGAAGCAATCAGGCAACTCAGCTCCAAAAGTTGCTAATCTCAGGCTGCGGAACTACTTCTGACCCTGTTACACAGCTGCAATCTGAACACGGACTTGTAATATTGCAAGTTTATATTCCAACAGCCATTAAACAAATGAGATGCTTCTGCTTTTAGCACAATGCATATCATATGATCTGACATTCCATGGATGCTGCATGCCCCATACATTTTACAAACAACAAAACCATTTCCTTCTTCTCCAAAGAGATGAACAGACACGTTCAGTGCTGTGCTATTAAGGTGCTGTGTGGCATTGCTTTTCTTCACTTTTTAATTTCCTTCCTCGCACAGTGGCAAGTTAGCTATATTCAACCAAGGCTTTTTTGCAAGTAATAAAGGCTACAAAGGGTTTGCTCTGTTTTCTGTATGAAGAGAAATCAAACACTAAAGTATCCCTAGTGTGCATTAAATGGAACCAATAAACAATCATTAGCTGCCATTGGACCATAACATTTGAAGAGATCTAAGTGATCATACTCTTCATGGGAGTTTGGGAGTTTGCTTCATATAGCTATAGAGCCTCCATCACGGTGTGTGGTAGCAGTAATTGGATATGTATGTATAATACATGCCTTTGAAGGGTGGAATATGCATTCTCTTTTTACTACATTTCAGTGTCCACATTGCTCCCACAGGCCTGAGCAAGCAGGGAGCATGCAGTGTAAAAACTGAAGATGAAACAAGCACACTGCCCTATCAAAGGCATACCCTGTAGTTCGCAGTTATTTTTCAACAATATGATGATGCATAAAATATAGGTAGCTGGAAGCGGAAAAGGACTGAAGTTAGAGGCTGTGACTTTATGATAGATTTATCATTGTCACCTGA